CTTCACAGAAAGCAAGTGAGAGAACAGCAGGCTCTGAGGTGACGAAGAGTCGTGTTCCCCAAAAGGTGCACACTCTACAATTAAAAGAATGCCTAACTGCCTAACAGAGCTTCTTCAGGCCTTCAAATCTTTATTTATTGTGTGCTTGTGACTCAGAGAGTGTCTACACACCATGCAGCATGCTGGGAAGTGGGGGACAAGTTGGTGGGGTGGGATTTCTCCTCCAGCCTTCGTATGAGCTCCAGAGACTGAACTCCAGGTGTCAGGCTTGAGTAGAAGTGCTTCACGGACCCCTTAATGGAGCTTTTAATCACGATTTTTTTACAGCGAAACTCTTTTCCTTTCTAATGAAATATCACTTTGAACAGGTAGTAGAGATAAAGGCACTGAATTGATTCCTCGAGCGGGCGCTTAAGCTTTTGTTACTTGACCTCGAATATTCCCCTGTTTATGGAGCCCCTGGGGGCTCTCTTAGGAAATGTGGCTTTTGTGGGACACAGTATGAAAAATCACTGACCAGGAACACACTGCTCTCCGCTGCCCCATAAGCACTACGCTGTGCTTAAAGATCGTGCTCCCCTCCTTAGCAACCACAACAGCATCAATATGGGATCCATCCAAACCTTGGAACGGAAATACAGATCTCTGGAAACTCTACAAGGAAAATGAGCCATTTGCTTATGTAAATAACCCCCTTCCTTTTTATTCCTAGAGAAGCATTACACTCACAACAGTTTCACTAGGATTTTGCTCACTCGTGTCCCCACATAGCAGTTTTCCTCAGAAATACCCATTTATATTTAATGCCTCTGTCTTGTAATTCCTTGAGAAGGACAAAGGCGGAAGTCCAGTCAAGGCCGTAAAAACTACTTTTCTTCAAAGAATCTGTCAGCCAGATTTCTCAGGGAAGAAGCAGAAATGAAAGGGGAGACATTGATAAATTTCCCTGCTGAACAATCAATAAAACCCGCTCTGGCCTGCTCAGCCCCCCACTGTGGAGGCAAGAGCCGTAATTACATTGTCAAAAATTCAAGTTGCCCAGGCTGACGCAACCGCTTTAAAAAGTGACAACTGATTGGCACTCAGTTTGGGTGGTGAAACTGGATTGGCAGAGGCAAAGGCAAACGGCAAGAGTGAGGCCAAGGCAAAAGGCGGGAGTGGATTTTCTTTATTGCCTCCAAATGCTCAAGTCACAGACTTCCAGCCCTGGACTCTTTGGTCATATTAACTTATCGGAGTGGGAAGGTGACAGTTACAAAGCCATCAGCACTCCTACTGCAATAGAAAAATACCTTGTCTTGATCCACTCCCAAATACACAGACAAAGGTATTGCCGCATATGTGTGTGAGAGTGCCAACGTGTGTTGTTTTTCTGCGTCCAAACAAAGCCATGAAATGTGCTTTCAACCCCAGCTTTCCTTGTGATGGCTGAACGGCAAAGCCCATTTGCCTAGCAATTTTAATCTCTGATGAAAATCAGCTAGAGCAGAGGGGTTGCGAAGGGCAGTAATGAAGAAGGAACAAGCAGGGACGCGCTGGGGAGACTGATATGACTGACACACTCACTGACCCCGTTGTAAGTTTCTAGACGACCCTTGCTTGAGTTAAATTAGAATCCATCAATCCCCTCACTCCTAGTCGTTAGGAATCAAGCCTGTGAAAGACTCCATTTGCTGGACAGTGTCCGCCTTCTGGCTACGCAGGGCCCACGTGATTGTTTTCCGTAACAATCATCGTAACCACACCCAGGAGTGGTGACTGTCCTGTGCTGGGAAGCAACTGTACCACAAGAGATTAAAATCTAAAGGTGCCCACTGGGTGATGGGAATAGAACAGAAGGTACCCGGAAGTGTTGTTGTCTCATGAGCTCCAAGGCTAAATCAGCTCTAGCTGATGAAAAAAGTTATTAATTAAGAAGATGAGTAAATGTTGGACAGAGGGGGCCACATGCCACATTTTCAATTAGAAATCGCTGTCTCTTCAACATTTCCTAAGATGAGCTACCTGGCACTCCATCCCCTGTGGTTATGGAAAAGGCAAAAAAAAAATGTATAAGCAGAATATGAGCAAAGCAATGAAATTATCACTGTGAGTTGTGCTGTCACTGCTGTAAAACACCTTATAAGTACTAAGTGTGGGATGGTGACTATGATTTTATAGCCTGGTTTTATAGAAATTAATTTATTCAAAATCATAACTGAAAACCAACAGACCTATGCCTATTCCTGACTCTTCAATGTCCATTGCAACAGTGAATCTCTCAGTTCAGTCGCTGATTCAAAATCAATCCCCCTGAAGTTTCCTCTGACACGCATATTCAATTTGAGGCTTGATTCCTCAATCCTGTGACCACTGCATCAGAGTCTGGGGATGAGATTCAGGAAGCTAGACGTAGCAACTCTCGCTGGAGTAGTCCTCTGAGATACACTAAAGCTGGTGAACCTCACTACATATTTTCTGGAATCCTACGAGGAAGCCGCCTCATTAGGGACTTTCTGGGTGGAAGGCAGTGAATCAAGATGCTCGCCCTTTAGAATATTTGACAGCAAAAAGAAAATTAGTTTGGTTCTCATCCCTGATTGTCACCAGACCCACCTTTGCCCTGGGAAAAAGGCCACTGAAGTCACATAATGATTTTAACCATGGTATTCCACTGTGCCTGAAGGAGACGCTACTCCAGACCTCAGGTGGTAAGAGATGGCGAGAGAGCTTGATGAAGGGCACGCGGGACTTGATGCTCTGACGCGTGCGTGAGGAAAGGACATCTTCCCACTCAGCTGGCCAAGCTTTTTTCTCATGGACTTTATTTCAGATGAACGAAATATAGAATTATCATATCAGAGAGGGCATAGATTGGATCATCCCACATGCCATGCTCAGGCTTCACAGATTAGGAGACATGTTTTGTGGGAGGGGCTTTGAGGGTGAGTGAAATGTCTGAAACCAAAGAGCGGTGAGAGAAGGTGAGCAGGAGCAGGAGGAAAGAGGGGCATAGGAAATAAAGGAAAGGAAATACAAAAGGAGAGAAGAGGAGAAAAAATTGGAAAGGGAAGCAGAGAAAAAATACACCCAACTGTGTCAAGGGGGGGGGGTCACAGAGACACACTAGGGATAGTCCTCTTGATTTACAAAAGTTTAAAACATATTATTAATAATGGCATTTACTCAGCTTTAGTTGTGCCATATTGAACATAGGCTAGGCCACTGTGGATTTTCTTTAATTTTACATTTCCTTATTTATAGAGTTCACGGAATTTTTAAAATATAGCCATATAGGGTATATTATGAATGTTTTCACTGATTACTCATACTTGAACATGGAAGTCCAAATAAAAGAGAGAAAATACACGGAGCAAGTTTTCATTTTCCTCATTTGTATTCTAGTCCTTAGAGGAGTCAAGCCATGAGCGCTGAGGTGACCTAAGTGACCAGCAGACTAAACACTTTGAGACCACAGCTAATGAGTGCAAAGGGAAGACAGTTGTGGATCTTAGCTGACAGATCAATGAAAATAGGAGAAAAATAGTAAAAATCCATGGGACAGGAATTCTGAGTTCCCATCCAGACAAGTTATTGGTATTTAAAATTATAAATTCAATGGTTTCTCCAACACTTGTCTGGCCCATGGCCAAAATACTATAGAAAATTTATGGCTTTCTCTTAGAGTAAGATGAAGAAAAATCCACAGAGTAGTGTGTGTGTGTGTGTGTGTGTGTGTGTGTGTGTGTGTGTGTGTGTGTACAATGATTATTACACGGTTTGTAACAAAACCAGGACAAAGGACAATATCAGGCTCCTCAGTAAAGTTTCCACAAGTTTTCTACTGAAAGTGGGTTGCATTTTTGTCCTATCAATACAAAAGTGCTGGTGTTGGTGACATCAGGCCTTTTCAGATCAGGCTGCCACCCGGGGTCCACATTCTAGGGTTCGTTCATTCTCTTTTGTTTTGTTTGGTGTTGCTGAAATTGTAGTTCTTACTCATGTCATGCAAACACTATGTTATTGAGTCACTTTCCAGCCCTGGAGACCACAGTATTGCTCTGTATTTGACCAAGACCAGACAACAAATATATATAATTATCTGCTAAAACACTCATTTAATTCTTACATTTTCCAGTTGTTATCAATATCCTACACATTTAGTAATTGCTTATGTCTTAAGGGAAGAAGCAGTCAATTTGCAAAATGGAATGAGATGATCAGAAAGCAAGAAAAATTTGACACAGAAACTGTTTTCTCTGGGGAAACCATGTAACTTGAAATCCCCGTCTGTGAGGGGATTTCAAGTATGACTGTAACTGAGCTCGGCATGTGTTGTGATGAGTAAAGGGAAGAGCTGAACAATTGAGAAGAGGAGTTGTCCATATTTGCTTTGTGATGTCAGGATATTACCTGCTGAGAAATACCAGCTTCTTCTAAATAACTATCAGTCCATTTTCACTGAGTCCAACAATCATTCCAAATGTCAATCTCAGTGGCATTCTTAAAAAGATTTCACTCTTCACTGACATACACAACTGTAGTCATCACCTCTGGCCTATGTTGTCTTCATGCAGGATTCCAAGTTGAAAGAATTGCCCGTACCTGTGACAGGCTATTCTCAAGTGGAAGTCAAGAGACAAATGGATAAAGAATCACAATAGCTTGTAAAGCCTCTACTTTTGCATGAAGTGCAATCTTTTTGCTCGTATTCATCAAACCAGAGGATGGCTGTGGCTAAGCTCACCCTCCATGGAACAGGGAAAATGACTCCGAAAGGCAAAGCCATCTAATGGTGTGCAAAGTTATCCAGTCCACTGGAACCATAACCATAGCACAGTCTGGCACAGAGAGTAACAATTAGATATGTCATTTAAGGAAATAATGTTATGCATTAATTGACACGCTGTCTCAGCAACAAATTCCTGGGCTTTTAAAATAATTTAATCCATGTTCCTTGCCCACATATTTGCTAGAAACAACGCCATTCCTGCTTCTTTTGTGAGTCATCCACTACTTACCATGCAGGGAAAGGGTTCCATTCCTCACCGCCAGGAACTTCACTCCATAGGGAAAGAAGGGGATAGAGAGAGAACTTCCATAGAGTTTGAGCTGAGCTTTGCCTTGGAAAGGCTTGAACTCGGAGCCGATGTGGAGCTCTCCACCATCTGTAATAAGGATGGAGTGGGCTCTGAGCTCAGTGGGTCCTGGTTCCATGAAAATCAGCTTGCCACCTGGCAAACAAAGAGCAAGCGGTCAGTCTTCAGGAGAATGAGGCTCACCCTGTTTGGGCAGTTCCAACAAGTGATGACATTGGTTTTGTTTTTATGCTTCTGGGAGTTAGACTTAATACATAGTGAACTGTATTCTAGATGGACCATAAGGTAGGCCAGACCCCCAAGGATGAAAACATTTTATCTTTAAGCCAGTTCTCCTAAGATATTACTATTGGCTGTAGCATTGATAATTTTTTGTGCAACAATCTAAATATTCAGCAACACAGAATTGGCTAAGGAAATGGTTAAGAAAGTCACTGACTTTACAGGTTACAATAGATTAAACTTGATTATATAATTAAGCATATGACAAAGTCAATGCATAAGAGACAAGGCTAGAAGAAAATGGATTAAAGGCGAAAAAGAATACAATAAAAGGAAGCAGTGAACTAACACCTTGCATTTTGTGGAATGCTAGCTATCCAATATCCTCCACACTTGCTTTTGTCAACAGACCTTAATTTCAGAGTTCTTCCTCACTGGATGTAGGTGAGTGGCCTATCAATCAAGACTCCTTATCATGTAGTATGATAGATCGAGATTGGAGCTTTGAGAAGGTTATAGAACAAAGGGGAAGGAAGAAGCATTTTAGATCTCATTAATTTCATTGATGATGTTCTAAAATTCCTAAAGAGAGTTCCAGCTCCAGAGCCCACCACCTGCCCACCTCCTCTGCTCCAAAACCCTTGATTCTGATTTGTTTCTGTGTTTGGAGGTGGAGACTTTTGAAAGTGATGAGATAAGATTGGAGATTCGAGAGCTTTGATTGAATCCTGTTGCTTTATAGGGGGGAGGGAGAGAGAGTGTGCATAGAAAAGAGAAACTGAGAAGCTTCTGTAAAGTACAGGACACTGTCAGTAAGACAAAAAGGCTACCTTCCGACTGGGAGAAGATCATCACCAACCCATCATCAGACAAAGGTCTGATCTCCAAAATATACAAAGAACTCAAGAAACTAGACACTAAAGCTCTAATTAACCCAATTAAAAAATGGGATACTGAACTGAACAGAGAATTCTCAACAGAAGAACTTCAAATAGCCAAAAGACACTTAAGATCATGCTGCTCAACCTCCTTAGTGATCAGGGAAATGCAAATCAAAACAACTTTGAGATACCATCTTACACCTGTCAGAATAGCCAAACTCAAAAACACCAATGATAGCCTATGCTGGAGAGGATGTGGAATGAGGGGAACACTCATCCATTGTTGGTGGGAATGCAAACTTGTGCAGCCACTGTGGAAATCAGTGTGGCAGTTTCTCAGGAAACTGGGAGTCAAACCCCCTCAGGACCCAGCAATTCCATTCTTGGGAATATACCAAGAGATGCCCTAACATACCACAAAAGCATTTGTTCAACTATGTTCATAGCTGCACTATTTGTAATAGCCAGAACCTGGAAACAACCTAGGTGCCCCTCAATAGAAGAATGGTTAAAGAAGGTGTGGAACATATATACATTAGAGTTTTACTCAGCGGTAAAAAACAATGACATCTTGAATTTTGTATGCAAATGGATGGAAATAGAAAACGCTTTACTGAGTGAGGTAACTCAGACCCAAAAAGAGGAATATGGTATGTACTCACTCATAAGTGGATTCTAGCCATAATTAAAGGTCTTTGAGCCTATTATTCGTGATCCTAGAGAAGCTAAATAAGAAGGTGAACCTGGGGCTTCGGGCCGTGGCAGGGTCCCGGCGAGGAGGAGCTTGGGCGTTCCCCGACCCCATAGACGCCCAGGTCGCCCTGCAGTG